CATATGTTTTGGGGGATTTTTTTCTCAGAATTATTTTTATTGAAAAAAGAAAACGATACACAATAAACAAATATTTTATTTTCTCTTATTTCTTCTTCTACCCTATCTCTAAAAATACTAAAACCAAATTGAATAACTTATTCACAGTCACGAAGTGACAAAGGGGATTTTAAATAAATGCTTACTTGTCCCTGTCGTTCTCGATGTTTTTGCTAATGCTTTCTATGGTGGCGGTCCTGTCAATCTTGGAGATGGGTATGATCTTGGTAAAATTCTCATACAGCTCCATTGGCTCCTATAAAAAAAATACATATTTTTAATAATTATAACAAAAAGCCATTGGTTTCCAGTATTATTTTTTATTATTTTGTATTTATTTATATTCTAGTTCAACATGTAAAGAAGTGTAATAAGCAAATGAAATAAAAGTTTGAAATAAAACTTAAGATTCATTCTTATTAAAAAATTTTTTACAAAAATAGACGTGTGATGACAAACAGTCCAGTTTCTTCTCCCCAAACGCAAGGGTCATATGTTCATCTAATGTTCTGCACAAAGCATTTAATTAAATTAACTCACTAGAATGAAATAAAAAAATACCCATTGCTTTTAACAATAAGAGATTCATACCACATGCATTTACACAGCAGCACATTACCCTAAATTGGAAAAGAAATCCCTAATTATAAGGGGAACATTAAATCAGAATAAATAACAAAAAAAAACAACTGACATTTACTGTCAGCCTCTTTAGTTTGTCCAATTGCCCGAATCTTTCCTTACCCGTCTGATGTCCACTTGTCCGCCTGTTGCATATACATCCCCTCCATGTTCCCCATACAACAAAAAACACAGCACTGTGCCGTAGAGAACTGGTTGAGTCTTCTGAGATTTCAACTGTTATAAAACAGGGGAAAAACAGATAATTATATATGAACTACATTGACATTTATTCAGATTAAACCTTTTCTGTTTTAAGGTCAGTGAAGCTTACCAAAATCATTTCAATTTGCTAAATGTCAAAAAAAATATTTCCTTTAACTCATTTTAATGTAGTAGTTTATTATAATTTTTAGCATTTAATATTTTTTAAAAGGAATGACATGGATGAAAAAATATTAGATACATTATTTTTACAATTTACTAGAATTTAACCCATTTGTTTTGAGAAAACTGGTGTAACTGAGTCAAGCCTTTGGCTGCCGCACTGTCAGCAAACCGTCTGTGGAACTGAACTCAGAGCTTTCTAGGGGCCACTGCAAAGCAGGGCCTCTGTTGTTAAAGTTGTAGGGAAATCATATTTAAATGTCAAATAATTCCGGCTTAAAGATTTATATAAAGGTACTCTTTATCAGACTATATTGTCCCAAAATGTAGAAAATTTCTATTTAAAAAACAATCCTGTCTTAAAATCTGTGGGGTTTTTTCTTATGCAGGCCAGTTAGTTATAACTGCTTGTAAACCTAAATTCAGCCAATCATATATGACTGGTCATCTGTCAATCAAATCTTTTTCGGTCATAACATCTTGATTCATATTTCATAGCTAATATACGCAACCGTTGAAATAAGAATCATTCATCCTGCAAGATGCAGCCAACGTGATGCTGGTGCCTACATAAAACTTAAAGAATACATGTTCCCAGGGGTCAATATTGCAAACTATAACCTGGCCAGGATTTGATGTTACTTTGGGAGTGTTCTCCTCTGAAAGGCATTTTAATCCAGAATGTGCAAGACTTTTCTTCCTTTTTTTTTTCATTACATTTTCCACCATTGACAATGACATCTTACCAACAGTTTTGCTTTTTTTTTTTTTTAAACCAGGGCTCATATGACAGCACTTTCACCTTTGGGACGCAGAACTTCATCCATTAATGTTTGATGATTTGCCACTCATGGCATTTAAGCTTGCTTTGAAGAGAAGCTTGATAATTATACCCAAAGATGAACTAGACTAACTGACCTTCACAATTATCTTGATATCTAGGCTGATTTTGTTTATTTCACGTGACCTCGTAGAGGGAAGCAGTAAACAGTAGTAGTCATTTAAAATTTCCCCACTTTCATTGATGGGCCCTTAGCTGGTCCCCTACAATTCCTTTTTAAAATTACAATATTTGTACTAAAGTATTCTTTCTTTCATGATTTGTCATGGACATTAAGATCTAAAGAGAAGCGCCATCTCCTGGTCAGACCCTATAATTTAGTGAAAGGGTGGAGTCAGAGTAAAAAAATATGCAACAGGGGGTCACTCCAGTGGCTGGAAGCTGGAGGGGATTTTGCTTGGGGTTGGAGAGAAGTAGGCTGCCATTCGGCTGGCGTTTGACTGGGAAGGGCCATTTTGAAATGCTGCTTCTGTATTTGGCATTAAATTCACAATTATAAGGAGAAATTGGGAAGCTTACAAGTTCATAATATAAATGTCTGGGCTCATCTTAATAATATAAGGCTTATGGATCTATATATACAATCTTGGTATAATTACATATAAATGTATACATTTGAAGAAAGCGAAATAGAAGTTATCGCTCTTAATTCTCAGATTCAGCAGATGGAAAATATTCAGGTATTACAACTGCCATAAAACATGAAATGTATTTTGTGTTACATTAACAATACATTCAAATGTGTTTTTCTGTTAAAAACAAAAAACAAAACTTACAGTTTCCCCCTCTTTGTATATTTTTCCATCTAACTCAATGGCGGAGAAAGCGGTCCAGGGATGCTGCATCTTCTTCGTCGGCACATCGTTTCGTGTCACAATCCCCATGCAGTTAAGGAACTTCACCTGCTTATCAAACTGTGTGTGACATTTCTGAAGCCACTGGGTGAACTCTTTCTGGATGTTTCTGGAAGTTTTCGCGGCTTTCTGTAAAATGTGACAATCAACACAGGCACAAAAAAAAGAGAAAAAAAACAGATACATTGAAAATTTTGCAAGTTTTACTGTTTCTTTCTGATTAGAAATATAAGATGCATTGCCACAATCATCATGATGCACCAATAACACTGATGTCAGACGAAGCAAAAAAGAAAAAAATAATAAGATTCATAAAATGAAGCCCTTTCTAACAGAAAAGTGTTAGATAATCATTCTGAAGCTTTTTTTAAACCGTGGGTTTAATGTCAGGGGATAATTGCAAGGTTCTCACCAGCATAATTAGCTGCTACATTCAAATGTCTTCCTGCTTAGCTGAAATTAAGGTCACTAACATACAGAGAGACAGCTGTGAATGCAGGGGGGAATTAACCAGTCTGAGAAGGATTCACAGCCAAAACGACAAATAGTCAATTTTTTTTTTTTCTTTCCTACCCAATAAAATGCAGGACTAATGTGTCAGTTTGTTGCCACGTTATCACAGCTGCATATGGAGCAGAGGAATTACTCAATCTGATGTTTGCATATGAAGGGGAAATATGAACGCCCCCTTCAAAAAAAAAAAAAAAGAAACAAAAAAAAAAAGAAAC